AGAGAGAGATCGTTGCTCTGTCATTGCCATGGCTGACAACAACACAACACAACACAACACAAAAGATAAGATTTTTCTTTTTCTCTCTCCTCTGAAACGAGAGGTCCTTGGTGTTTCCGACTCCAACACGGCGTCGTTTAAACCAAAATATGTAAAAAGGAAAGCTTTGCAATTTTCTTCAAATTACTCAAAAGGCGTTTGATACAAACACTTGTTCCTGTCTGAACTAAAAAAACAAGCAAGTAAACAAAAGTGAAGAAAGAAACGTTTTTTTAAATCGACCAATTGTTTATTATTGTATACAAATGATACAAGATTTGAGACTACAAAACTATTGAGTACATAGTTATAAGAAGAACTGAGTTCTACCACCTATTGTTCTACACAGAGCTCCTCTTAAAGCTTGTTATACAATATGAATCGAGATTTCGAACTGAAAGGACAAAACTTTCGAAATCTTCAACGTGAAAAGCTGAATCTTTAAGATGATGATCACGTCAAGTGTGCATTTATATCAGCTGTGTTGAAGAAGAGGGGTTTGTCTCTGACTTGTGTACCTTAGTTCTGCGGGATATTAGGAGACAAATTCTCTTGAGCCTTCTTCTTTGTCTGTGAGGGATGAATCTTGCAGCTTTTGAGCTTCTCCATTACTGCATTTCTGGTCTTCACTGATGCAACTTTATGGGGAGACTGATGAGACTTTTTAATGTTTCCTCTTCCTGACGTCTGGTTCGTGCGGAATCTTGGGGAAGTCGGACTTATCAATGGTACCACCTGCACATAAATATAATGCCATAGATCAAGATTCAATGCTTAAAACTGTGAGAAGTTACAAATTGATAACTACTCTAGTTTTTTTACTATACCTGAAAATTACCAACTTGTGGATTCTTGTGTTCTTCTGAAACTAAGTGAGTCTTTTGATTTGCCTTGAAGCCGCAAGACAATTGTTCTTTACCACTATCTTCTTTCTTGCTCTTTTCTTCTAGCTTCTTGAAGAACTAACAAACACAGCCACAATAAGAGAGATCTTCATTAGAGTATGCTCTATTTATGTCCTCTTATATGAAAGATACATAAATGGGGTCTCTAGTTTGTACCTCTTTCCTCTTTTCTGCCCTTTCATCACTTCTGAAGTTGAAAGGAGAAGATACAGTTAAAGACTTTGCTTTGGTTCTGCTACGAGTTGAAATGTTTTGGCAGCTGCAAATGCACAAGACCAAAATATCCAGTCTTATTTCCACATAAACAATGGGAACTAACACAAACACTTTCGATATACCAACTCAAGCCATTGCAGTAAGTAACACAAGATAGTAAGTGCTGCTTCTCTAAGAGGTTAGTACTTAAACCACTTACCCGACAGAAGGCTGCCTTTTCACATGGTGGGGTATTTTGTATGAAACTGAACTACCTTCAGTTATGCCTTTCCTGTATATAAGAAACTAAACTTAAGCACAGGGTTGAGTGAGTATAAAGTGATGAATGTTGTTGAAGATGGGTGATCAGTAACCTTTTGTCTGCTGATAGCCGATTACTGGGAGGAGGAAGTTCAGGTAACCTGACAGCAGATGCCTACAATATATGTAAAGAGTCAGTCTCAGCATATATGCCTGGGATACACACATGAAATGGAGAAACTTGGGAGGAGAATTACACTGGTTGAACATTTTGCAGCTCTAGAACCTTCTTCTTTGGTTTTTTGAGGCAATGGTCTCTTGTGGCTTTTTGAAGCTCCCGTTGGTTCGTTTCCATTTGGGAAAACACTGTTTCTAGCATTTGATGAAGTTGTTTCCTGTGTAGTGGATTTTCTTGCCAGGTTTTTTGGGGCTGTTTTGGTCGTTTGACGAGCAGAAGAAGCAACGTTGAGTGACATGTGAACTGAACTTGGACCTGATCCCTTCTTCTTGTCAGCTTTCCCTGCACTCTTAGCATTGGTTTTGCTTCTAGAACCATGTTGAGTGGCATTATTACCAGAAGGAGCACAACTGATTGACATGTGAAAGGGTACACGAGGTGATCTATTTTGATTTTTCGATACACTAATTGACCTTTTACTACTCGAGGGAGGCTCTTTTCTAGTTTTGTTAAGTGGCTGATCCAGTCCTATAACAAAGGAGGGTTCCAGTTTTGAACTTCCACTGCAAGTCTTTGATCCAGAAGAACTAGAACGTCTTTCTTTGCTCAAAGAAGTCGAATCCTCCTGAAAAACGCCATGGATGTTAATAGAAAAACAAAAAGAAATTGTTTTTGCGATGTGAATTATAAGATTTTGATGCGTAGGAACATTACCTTATCAAGATCCTCGCCTTCAGGAACAGCTACAGAATCATCGACACTAATATCCTTCACTTCACCAGTTTGAACATCAGCTACAGAATCAATGTTCTCGACACTAGTATCCTTCACTTCATCAGTTTGAACATCAGTTGTTTCATCTATTACAGAAACTGATGGAGCAACCTCAGCATTAGACACCTCTTTATTCATGGACATACCATTATTCGCCTCAAGTGGTACTTCCGAAGAATCAACGATATCATCTTTCCGTACTTCTTCACGCACAATTTCATCATCACAGGCTTTAACATTAACTTCTTCAATCTTCGTCTGTGTTGCTCTCCCGGAAGCTCGGTTCTTGAAATGAGCTTCGAAAAAAGCTTTCTTCTGTGCCACAGAACCAGGCTTAGTAAACCTCTCAACTTCTTCCAAGTAACGATTCTGAGTAAAAGCTGACCATTTCTCCCATTGTAGAGTCTCTGACGCAAATCTACCAAACGATACTGATTCCGTAAGAAAACGACGAGAAACCGCCTGCAAAATCCC